GCAGGGAGCCCGATGCGGGACTCGATCCCAGGACCCTGGGATCATGACCTGAGCTGAAGGCAGTCGCCCAACCAACTGAGCCACCCAGGCGCCCCTATAGGGAAAGACTTTTGAAGACTGATGTTTGGAACTGTTTCCATTGTCATGTGATTTTAATGCCAAAATAAGTGTGTCATTGTCACCTATATAGACTGTGCTACTGGGGTTGTATGTAAGTGATGAATCACTGAATTCTACTCCTGAAACCAACGTTGTACTCTATGTTAACTAACTGGAATTTAAGTAAAGAAAAAAAGTAAAATAGAATATATATGTAGTCACATTAATTGATGGGGCTCCTGGGTAGCACAGTGGGCTAAGCTTCGGACTCTTGGTTTCGGCTGGGGGTTGTGATTTCAGGGTTGTGAAACCTGCTTGGGTTTCTTTCTCCCTCTCCCTCTGCCCACCCCCTCAAATTAATAAATAAATAAATAGTCTTAAAAAATAGACTGTGCTAACTATAGACTTCATAACTAAGAAATACACTTTTAAATCCACTTTACACTCTCCCAAATGAAGAGTTTCAAGAGTTTAAGAAATCCCATTGTTACGAATATTCACAAAAATAACTGATGAAAACATCATGAGAACGTGGGTTTCACGGACAAAGAAGAGCTTTCTGGTGGAATTTCACATTTGCAAAACTGGTAGATGGCATTTAAACGAGAATTATGATTTACTAAGTGTAGTCAAAGATAGAATTCTCCCATTTGGGTCTACTTATCTTTGCAAGATATCTTTTTTTTTTTGCGGGGGGAGGGGAACAGCCATTAGGACTAAGTATTGACATTAACCGAACTTAAAAGCATACTTTGTAGTTTCATAAAATATTAAACTAAGATTTATTAAAGCCATTTTTAATCATGTTGCTCTCCCTAAACAGACTTTTGCAAATAACTTTAAAGTGAAAGGAAAAAGGGATATTGTACCATTCATTAAAAATGAAGTATTATCAGGGCACCTGGGTGGCTCAGTCATTAGGTAACTGCCTTCAGCTCAGGTCGTGATTCCAGGGTCCTGGGATGGGGCCCCGCATCGGACTCCCTGCTCAGTGGGAAGCCTGGTTCTCCCTCTCTCATTCCCCCTGCTTGTGTTCCCTCTCTCACTGTGTCTCTCTCTGTCAAATAAACAAAATCTTAAAAAAAAAAAAAATGAAGTATTATCTTAACCACATCCTTTGACATCCATTTAAGGTATGCTTTGTAATATATAATATATTAATACAATTGCATGTGCATATCATTTATAAATAAGTACATTGTAAATACCAGGCTGTGAGGTAGAAGGAATAAAACTTGGTGCTTAAAGGAGGCCACTATGTGACAGCAGTTGGCACAGGGAAGACACAGTGGGTGCTCACTAATGACTGGTTCCACTTCCTCCTTTAGTGACGAATTTGATGTGAGAAGTGAAAAGGAGAGAGTCAAGGAGGGCTCCCCAGTATGGCCTGGAGTGGAAGGTGGTGCTATCCTTCCCTAAGACTGGAAACACAGGAGCAGGAGCAGGTTCTGGCAGGATCCTGGGAGGAAAGTCTCAGGAGTTTGAGTTTGGGACTATAAACCTCCAGTGGAGATGGCCCCCAGGAAGCTGGATATACCACCTGCAGCTCTAGAGGACATCCTGGGTTGGAGGTGAGGTTCAAAAGTCGTTAGCAGGCAGGAGGTTGTTGAAACCACAAGACTGGGTAGGCCCGCGGAATGACAGAGGAGACAGGCTGCGGTGCGACCTGGCGGAACACCACAATGGAAAGCCCGGCCTTGGAGGCTGAGAAGGTGTAGTCACCAAGGTATGCAGGAAATTAGAAGAGAAAGCGGCGGGCGCCAACTCTGGAAACTTTTTACTCCACGCGATCCAGGAAGGAAGGGCGTGGTCAGCAGGTTCAAACGCTGGGGAGAAGCGAGTAAGGGGCTACAAGGCACAAGGCTGGATTTAGCACCTAGGAGGTCAGTCGGGACTTGGAGGGGCGGGTGTATAAACTGCAGAGCAGGGGGTTGGAGGAGTGAGTATGTGAGTGTGAGCGCGTGTGTGTTTGGGTGCGTGCGTGTGTGTACGCGTGCTGGGAGGGGCAGGAAGGTGATCCAAGGGACCAGGCTGACGCCTAGCTGGTGCTTGCCGGTCCGTTCAGCTACAGGGAGTAAGTCACCCATTTGGGGGCCGTGACCCCAGACTCTCACCTTGGGAAACGTCCTGGCGAGGGAGGAAACTCGAGCAAGTCGGAACACGGCTGCAAGCGCTCTCGGGCCTGGCGGGTGGCAGCGGAGGCGAATTCCGAGGAGCCCGGCTGGAGCCTGACCCCGGGCTGCGGCGGGCGCGCTTCCGGCCGGCCGGGGGACAGGGCGGCCGCCGCGCCCCTGGCGCTCTCAAGTTTCCTGTTGGCAGCGCCGCCCGGGCGCCTCAGGTAGCGGCGGGCAGGCCTGGTTGGCGGGTGGCGGGCAGGCAGACCCGCGCGGCTGCGACGGCCCGGCCCGCGCCCCGCTGCTGCCCGCTCGTCGCTTCTCTGCTCCGCGCCCAGGTAGGGCACCGACCGGGGCGGCGCGCGGCTGGTGGGCTTCTTCCGTGAGGAGGCGGCTCTCCTCCTCCCGCCAGGACGGCCGGGGGGCTCGGGGGTGCGGAGGTGCGGGCGCCGCGGCGCTGCGCTCGCAGAACGCTCGGTCCCCG